GTTTCCCTAGCTTCAGCACAGATTTCGTCACCTCTGAACTAGATTACTGAGGAACACGGTCTCTCCCAGGCCACCCCAACCCAATCCTCTAGGTGTAGCTGGCCCTCCTCTGCCGTCCCTGGTTAAACACTTCTTGGGATTTCTAATGCCTGCAGGGTAAAGTTCAAACTCCACAGGTCCAAGCAAGGACCTTCCTAATTGTATACAGACCTATCTCTCCATTCTTATCTCCCACTTCTCCACCCAACCACCCTGTACAAAAGTTATGGTGAGCAATGGAGAGTTCCCTCTGCACAAGAGATTAGCCTCTTTGTGGACACTCACTGTTTGCAAAGCTCAGTGCCAAGTACTCTATACGCATCACCTCATATAATCTTCACAACAATCCTATGCGGTGGGTAGGTATCTTACTACCCCCAGTTCACAGGGGAGGAAAACAAAGCTTAGACAACTCCTCTGGCTGACTGTCTCCCTGTCTACAGTACCTGCCTCCTCGCCCAAGCTCTTACAGTTGGCCTGGAAGGCCCTGCTGCTCCCTAACTGCTGCCCCCTGCATCCCCCAACATAATCTTTGAGACTCCACTTAACTGTCCCTCCCAATAATGCCACTCTTCCCCCACAGTTAATAATTCTTTCTGTGGAGCTCCCATGCTACTCTGTACATTCCTCATTAGAAATTCTTTTCACACTGTATCATACTGATCTGTATACATTCCAATCTACCAATTGGACTGTGAACCCATGAGAATAGAGTAGCTTTTAAAAAACAAACAAACAAACAAACAAACAAACAACAGAAAACCTCTTTCTTGTCCCTACATCTGGCATACAGTAGCTAGGTAATAAATGAACAACGTGTGTTACTATGTATGATGTGCTGTTTCAAACACTCCCGTGCCTTCCTTATATTCTATTTCAGAGCCTTATTACATCTGAGCTCTCATTGGCAATATATTCCTGATAGCTTTCCCTCTGACCACTTTTTTCCCCCCAATTCTCTTTTTTACCAATGGTGGACTAATTCCTCCAAAACATAGTTCTGAACCTGGCACTTTGTTCAAAAACACCCTTAATTTGTCAGTGTTTACCAAGTAATGTATAGGTTCTTTACTCTGGAATTTCAGAGTGTCCATGATCTGGACTTAATGGTTTCATCTTATCTTACCAATACCCAATACCAAATCAAATTATGTTACTTCCTGTTTTCTCAAGTTATACAAAATCTCTGTGCATCTGACTTCCGACATGCCCCACCTCTCTCTCCATAACTACTGTAGAACTCTCACCTTCTTCAAATCAGATTTCACCACCCTCACTAAGCCTTCCTTTATTTGGCACCTGGCTAAAAACTACAACTCTTCTGGAATCCTACAACTTTACGGTTTTACCTCCTTTTGTGGGATTTAATCCATTCTGCAGAGTTCTACTATGATGCAGATATATCTTAGCTCCTTGACATCATCTACTCTTCCTTATAGAGCTATACCCAACTGAGTGCCTTATACCTAGTAGATGCTTAACGAATTTAGTTTGGTGCACTATTAAAATAACAAATGTTAGGTTATGATAAAACCTAACTCTCCTGCATAAAAAAAAAATTAATGTGAAGTCAAACTAATTGAAGAACTTCACAACCCCCAATAAGACTGTATTATACAGTAGTGTGTTAAAAACAGTTTGCGGGGTGGGGGGAAACAAACTGACCTTAACTGGCCCATATCTTAAGAAGTCAGGTTAACCTAAGATGGAAAAATCATCTAAATCAATAGTAAACATCACAGAGTGACAGCCACTGGTAAACACTAGGCTGTTTTTAACATGTATAATTTCCTTAGTTCTTATAAACCATAAAGCTATTCCACATTTTACACTTGAGAAGACGGAGGCCAACAGAGGTTCAACAGTTTGCCCAATGTTAGGTATCTTTTGAATGGCAGAACCAGGATTCCAACCAAACTAGAAAGAAACATTTACCAAAAGACCAAATCCTCCTTTGAAGGAGTTACAATGGATTCGTATCACTTGAAAGAGCCTCATCTATGGCAGCAATTTTCAACTGTTTTGATGCAATAATTTTTAAAACATTCAATACCTGACTAGTCAGGGGCACTAATCTCTTTTTCCTTAGATTGTCAAATTAAATAATGACAACAGCCAACACAACAATAGCCGTCTGGTGTAAATGAATCAAAATGATACCTTTTTTTTTTTGTCAGACTGCCAAAAAATATATTTTTTGGTGTGTCACAGATTATTAGTAATTAGTTGATGTGTGCCATGAGATGAAAAAGGCTGAAAATTGCCAGCTCTGGCATATTTCAAAACTATCACCAACTACCGAGCCTATACTGCATACCTAAGGACAGGATCCCTTTTCCAGTGATCCCATTCGGCCAAAGGTGTTATTGGGTGACTTGGTAGGAAACCTGCAGTAACACTAAATTCTAGTGCCCATACCTTTATAATGTTCACGGAGCACTGTGGACAAGTATAAATGTTACAGTGCGTGTTTAAACCAAGCAACAATTTTAGGAATTTGCTCAACTGATCTTTGCTCTTACAACAAAATTTACCACTAGGTGGCAGAAGTATAACGTTAGGGGCTTATGTGATTTTTCTGCAACGCTTTATAAACAAAGGTAGCTTGACATTTTCCAACTCTTTTTCACAGTAATATAAAATCTTGTTTAACTGCTTAAAGTTTTAAAAAATATTTTGTCACTTTTAGAGTGGTTAGTTACAAATAAATGATTCTAAACAAAAAATTATTATTCTCTTATTGAAAATTTCATTATAATATTTTAAATACCATAATATACACAGGTGTCCACCTTTTTGTACTCAAAAATAGCCGCAGCTTAAACTAGCTTTAAACATGAAAGTAAGACCATGCTATCAGTAAATTTTTCAAAAGAACCATACTGTATATTAAGATACAACAAAGACTGAAATTTTATTTTGTGTAATGCTATACAAGATAGACAATTTGCTTTTAACCTATGAAGGCTGGAATTCTTGCATTTTGCAAATTAGTTTTTTGTTGTTTGTTTTATTTGTTTCATTTTATTTCTAAATTTCAAGATAAAAGAGAAAATCTGGGACTTCTGGCCTCTAAAACTGTCACAAAATCAATTTCTTTTAGGAGAAAATAAGTAAGAGAGAAAGTTTCAGGTTATATTGTGCAAGCACTTCTCTTCAAGTAAAGCTGAAGATTACCAATATATAAAATAAAAAGTGGGCAAAATGATCATTATATTTTTCTCTTCTTGACATTTATATTAAAAGTACAAGAGGAAGCTTGATGTGTTATATAAGAATTTTGAGGAAATGAATGCAACTTAAAAATGTGATCATTGTCTTGAGGCAAATCATGTGTGCAATTTTAGTAACTTGTGCCCTGATTTCAATCTTTAGTGATCCCTTGTAGGTAGACATTAAATCACATATAACTAAGGATAGCAAATATACATGTAAAACTATATAAATGGTCAAATCACTCAAGGAAGTAACTAAGTTAAAAACTAAGGCTTGCATATGTTCACTTTATAAGCATTCAGAAATAAAATATTTTAATGAATTTTTTTACCTAATTTTGTTAAACAAAAAATAAAATCCCCACCTTGACAAAAACCCTCCAGACCTATGCAAATCCTTTATTTGGGGGGAGGGGGTCCCAAACCACCAGTGTGGCAGTTCAGGGGGTTTGGTGGAAGGAACTGTGTGCTTCAGCTCACCCACCAGGAAGGAGTGAAGCCCAGACTGGAGCAGGCCTTTGCCAGTTATATAAAGCAGAGCTAGCGGAACTGGAACGCTTCCCAAGTCCGGCGGCAAATCCTGTGTCCTCACAACTGCCCCACAAGGCTTCTTTGGAAATCTGCAAATGAGCACATGGTGCTCATATATAAGATCTCTGGAACACATTCGGGCCCTGAGGTCTCATACAAACCTAGATCCATAAAAAATGAGGCCAACTCACTGCTCTGCCTGCCCAGGGATCCTTCAGGCTGATTTAGATCTCCTGAAAGTCATCTGCAATAGACTTTGCTTTCTTTCTAAGTCACTCTGTAAAGAGGCTGCCCTGGCTTGCAAAAGATGTGTATTCATTCATTGGCAGCACTAAGCCAAAACTGAGTTCTTGTCCAGGGATTAGTGGGAAGGAGCAGTTGCTAGGGGATTATTTTCCATGGCAAGCACCAATTTACACCTGTAAAATAGCCTAGAAATATGTGTGAAGAATAATTTGCATTATATACACGTGGATGCATTCCCTCATCTTTCAGCTCTGCTAGGTAATATTACCAAATGCATTTATAAAGTGAAAATTATACAGTAAGGTAAAGTCATCTGGATGCTTGACAAGATATGAAAAGAACATTGCTTTTGTGGCCTTGACAGTTATTAGTTGATTCAATTCATGAGATGTTTATGTTCTACCCTAAAAATAAGTACAAAACCCATCACAGCCGTCATTGCTCAGGGCTTGGCAGGTATCAAACTGCACATTTCTAATTCATTCCTAGGAAATAAAGCAGACAGAACATGTAATGATCTCTTAACACAAAGAATCTCATTGTATGCACTTGGTTGAAAAGAATACAGAAACTATTTAGAATATGAAAAAAAAGAAATCTATAAATAATAGCAAATGCTTCAAAAATCAAAATTTTGAGAGCCCCTACTTGCTACCTGGTGTGGAAGACAGGTCTTTTTCACCCCAACCCCACACATTGGTGCTTTTGAATAAATGGTGTGGTAAGTGCCATCTCAAGGAATTTTCTACATTAGCAATTCATTTAAAAAGAGATAAAGATGACCTCTGAATGTGGTACAGAGCAACTTGACAAGAATAAATGTGATAGCAGCAGTCAGCACAGAGCCTGCCTTTGCCGAGGGAAAACACCTCTGCACATGGGCAACCCCAACACGGATGAAGGGCAGCGCTCCCACAAGCGCCCCTCCCCCAGCGGGTCATCTACAAGAGGTCCCTGCCCTGCACTTACCTCCTCCTCCTTTTCTTCTAAACCTGAAGCCCCGCCAAGGCTCAGCTGAGGGTGGCTGCTGGAACCACTGTCCTCACTGCCTCTGTCACATGTGACTTGCACCGAATCTGGGAAGGACACAAGACCTTCTGCCCTTCCGTCACTGTCCACTGAACTCAAGGATAGGGCGCTGAGATTGTTGGCACATTTGACATTTCCTGTGCCTGGGCTCTGAGGGCTGGGGGGCTTGGGTGCGGTGGGCCTTAGCGGCGTAACAGGCTGCTCAGGTTCCAACATAAGCTGGCTGCCAGGTTTTGGTTCATGGGAATCTTGGCGCGATACTTCCTGGGCAGTTGAATTCGGTGATGAGCTACCAGCGCAAGGATCGTTGCTTTGGTCCTCAAGAGGAAACACCGCAGTCTCCACGTCCACGTGGGGGTCACGCAGGCCAGCCGGGCTGAAACCTGGGGCAGTGGCGCACCTCCTCCGCTCCAGCTCCACGCTGCTGGACACCCGGCGCGAGTAGTCTTCATGCAGGCGGCTGCGGGGCCTGGGCCGCGGAGCGGGGTCACTGGGGCTGGACGCCCCGCTCCTGGGACGCTCTCGCTTCAAGGCTGCCTCCGTGGCACTGCTCACCAGCCTGAGGACTCGGTCAAAGTCCTTGGCCCTGATGGGGCTCTTCCAGCGTTTCGTCCTCCTTTCAGACCCGCCGAGCTTCTCTGAGTCCGCAGAGCTGCTGCTTAGCGTCCGTCGGGGCGTGGGCCTGTCGGACACCATCCGGAGGTCCGCGAGGTTGGAGGCAGACTTCCTTTTGAAGGAGCCCTTCTTCAGGAAGTTCAGGTTGTCGGTGCTCTTGCTCCTCTGGTAGGCGATGCTGTTGTTCTCGGAGTCTTTCACAAGGATGGCGCACACTGGGGGCTCCTGGATGGCGGAGGGCAAGGGCAGGCCGTGGTGCTCGCAGTCCCGGAGGCTGATGCGGCCCAGGCCGTAGGCACGGCGCAGGCTGCGGGAGCGGTGCGTGCTCCTCTGGAAGGCGTCGTCCGCCTCCTCGGGCTCCGAGCCGTCGGAGGTGGGCCCAGGCTGGGGGAGTCCGCTGGGGGTTTCTGAGGAGCCGCGCCTCCCTGCTGGGACTACCACGGCTGCCCCATTTGGGAGAGCTGGGCCCAAATCAGGCTCCGAGGCCTCCTCCTTGGCTGCATCAGACCCCTCTCGATTTTGAATTCCTTGAAGGACAGAGGACTTCAGTTTTTTAAAAGATCCCATCTTCCGAAAGGAGGCCAAGGCGTTCCAAGTGGAGGAGTGCCCCATCAGGACCATGGAGCGGGGCCTCTCAGGGTTGGCGCCTGTCCTCTTCCTGCTCACCGAGAAGAGGCGCACAAACCTGGCAGGGCCTAGCCTGGAGTCCTGGGCTTCCTTGTCACCAGTGCATCCCCCATTCTGGCAGGCTGGGTAAATAACCATGTTGGGGTCTGGCGGTTCTGAGACTGAACAGGGGATTGCAGCAAGTCGCCCATGGCCGTTCTGGGCTGTTGTCATGTTCTCGGGGCCGGAATCTTGTGGCCACAGGGCAGCGCGGTTCAACCCCACGTGCGCACTGGTGTCCACCGGCCCCTCGTGCAGGCCTTCATCTCTGAGGCTGCTGCCCGCCTGGCTTTCACACCTGCTTTGCACATCTGGCTCCTCCTTAGTTGTGGCCACTGTCTGCAGCAGAAAACAAACAGGATTTAGTCATTTCTCCCATGGAAGAGGCTTTATAAACAGGGGCTAATTATTTTGTTTAATAATTGCTAACAGACAAAAAGGCATGACCCATAAATGGATTGATCAAATAAAAATAGTTTGGGCTTTTTAAAAAGATTTTATTTATTTATTTTTAGAGACAGGAAGGGAGGAGGAAAGAGAGGGAGAGAAACATCAATGTGTGGTTGCCTCTTGAGCATCCCCAACCGGGGATGGGGCTGCAACCCAGGCATGTTCCCTGACTAGGAATTGAACCAGCGACCCTTTGCTTCACAGCCCAGCACTCAGTCTACTGAGCCACACCAGCCAGGGCACCAAAAAAAAAAAAAAAAAAAAAAAGAGTTTTACATTAAGTTAAAACTCTACTTTTTAAAAAAAATTCATCTCACAATAAATTAAAGGGAAGAATGCAAATATACATTCTTTTTTAAAAAAATAATTATAGCTTGTGCTTTCACTATAATGGTAAACTCTTGAATCCATTGAAACTTGTTTCAGTAAGTTTTACAAAACTTCTGGATTGAAAAAGTCAAGGCATCATTCGAGACTGTCCTCTCTTGATTTTAAAAAGAAAATTTTAGCTTCAAATAATAAAAAAATGCAACAATTTCAAAATGTGTCACAGCAAAATGTCAACTTAAGTTTAACACACCAAATAGACAGACTGAGTGCTTATTATATATAAGATCTAATGCAAGGAATTGTGATGGAGACCAAGATGCTCTCAGCTGCCTACTGTCTACAGAATACCCAAAACTCTAATAAGCGAGCTATGAAATGCTCCAGGGACATAGGAGCGAGAGGGGCCAAGCAGAGGTCACATTAGGTCAGCTGTGTGTGGGAAACCACATTAGTGAGGGGCTCCTGTCAATAGCATTCTAACTGGCCAAGGAATAGAGAAACATGAGGATGATACTGAAGTACTAGAAATTCAGAAACAAAAATTCAAACTAAATAGTGCACCTTCTTTCCTCCCATGCCCTGCAGCCCACCATACACCTGTGTTCGTGCAGTCTTCCCCAGCCCCCAAGTGAAAGGCCTGCTCTCCTTAACTCTTCCCATCAGGCCAAGCTCTCCTAGGCCTTCAAGAGCCTGCTTAAATGTCACAGTCACCCTGTTCTCAATAAATGACTAGCAAACGGATGAGGAAAGGAAGGATTATGATAATGATGATAATTACCATAAAAGACTACCATTTATTAAGTGCTTACTACATATCAGGCCCCTGTACTAAGTGCTTTAGAAACAGCATACCACTAAGTAACGCATGCAAACCTAAGAGGTCAATAGCGTAACTTTCATTTTCTAAATAATCAAATGGACGCTTGGACAGATTCGGTAATCCGTCTGGGGATCCTGCAGCTGCCCCTCCCAAAGCCTACATTCTTCTTTTCTGCTTCAAACTCATGAACAAAGAGAAAGGCAGAGGTGGGACAAGCACCTCAGGTATCTGACTCCAAGTTCTGTGCCTCATGACATAACCCTGACTTAAGTGAAATCCCAGAAGTCCTAATGATGCAAGTCAAATGCCATTACCTCCAAAGGTAAAATTAAAAGCAGAAGAGGAGGAGAAAGTTGTATAAAGATCTTGAGGTTAGGTCCCAATTTAACTTAGCCTTCTCGAGTGTAGAAGAAAATCTGACTTCATGCAAAGAGGTCTGATGGGCCGCTACTCTCCCAATTCTCAAATGGGTTCATTTTTATTTGCCCTTGTGTCATGCCCAGTTAGGAGGGATTCCCAGGGACAGCCATAGTTAAAGGGCTGATTTCATCGGAGACCAGGTACACTACAGAGACTTCAACCTCTGGAAACTTTCTGAAGCTCAGTCACTCAATTCCATTAATCAGCAGCCTGATGGGGCTACCACATGCTTTCTTCAGTTCAATGTTCTAATATGGGGCAACTGCCGGCCTGAAGAGCTGTGGGTTGCCTTTGAATGAGCCACATAAACTGAGTCTTGAATCATCCCAGCATTGAAACTAGATGTGACATCTACCCAGTCGCAAAATGAGTCCACCAACTCAGCATCTCCCGTCCACCTGTACTTATTTTTGGAGGGACGGGGATTGTGGTTGTTTCACATTTTCAGAATGTGGAAACAAAGTAGTTACTTTATAGAGTGAGGTCCAGTCCCAATTACTGACTGGCTGCATATTATATAGTAATAATCCTGTCATAATTTGCACTGGATACAGAAGAACGGGCAGGATCCCTTATTGTGTAATCTGGTTGGATAAAGACAGATTACTGACACCTCAACTAGAGGGCACTAGGAAACCTTTTATAACCCAGGATGAAACTGTTAGACTGACCCTAAGGGCTCAAGGAGTACAGGAAAGTGCTTGACTTAATGTTGGGTAGTTTGAGAATGCTCTGTGGAAGACATGGGGCCAGGCCTAGGTTCTAAGTTCAGTATCATCATACGAATCTTGAGTAAAGTGATTTCAGGAATCTGTGCTTCAGTGCCATCCACAAAAGAAGAGATGCAAACATTTATTTATCTATCAACCAACTCATCAATTCATGAGCCCCTGTTGGGCACAAAGCTCGATGCAGGCCCTGTGATGAATTCAAGGTAGTGACACGGTGATAGCCCATTCCAGATAGGAAACTGGCACGAGCAAAAGAAAAGTCAGAAATATAAGTATGATTGAGAAGCAGTATATTTGGGTGACCAGCCATCCCAATCAGCCCAGGGGTAAGATATTTCCCAGCATGTGGGACTCTCATGACTGAAACCGGGCAAGTTCTTGGCAAACTAAGATGACTGGTCACCCTAGAGTAAGTAAAACAATAGTTGGAAGGATAGGTCAGTGTAACATAGTAATAGAAATTAAGGTGAAAACAGGTTTAGAAAAGCATACCTATCATTAGTCTAATACTTTGAGACTGACTGCAGGTGTCACCTTTGTTAGGAATTCCTTCCTGATTCCCCTCAAATGAATTAGGTCCCCCCAAATTGCTTTACCCAAACTTTTGCAATGGTAGGTTTACATGGCTGCCTTCAGAATAAGATGGCGGTCTCTAAACAGTAAGAATGATGTGGTTTGTACACTTAAATTATTTAACTTTATCTTGATGTGAAATTGTATCAGTTCCCCTGCCTTGTCAATACCTGTACCAAGGTAACAATTCATTGTTGCATACCATCATTATTTTTCCAATGTGAGGATGTTTAGATTTTTACATCACTAAAAAAACTAAATATTTACATAAAACTTATTTAAGTTTTAGGATACAGATCCAGTAAAATATATGCAGAAAATCAGTTTCTAATTAGGGCAACATGTTTTTTAAAAGACCATTGACTTACTATTTTGTTCATGTAGTTGAACAATGTGGTTGTTGTGTGCTACTTGGAATGAAACTGAAAATCACGGAAGAAAGCTTTTCCTGGAATTTCCAAGTAACATACCAAGTTGCATTATTTAGAACTAACACTATGACCTCTATTAACAAGGGTTGGGATTCAATCAGTGGTTTTGTAGCAAGTCTTGTAAATTGTGGGAGCTCTGCCAGAGATATTTTTGAACAGAACTACAAGAAAGAATTTTAGATGGGAATATTGTGAAATCCATTGTCTACAGACTAGATTCTGGAGTGTATGAACTTTAGAATAGAACATTTTAGTCATAATGAGAGTTCTCTGAAAACAACTATGACCAGTAATTTTTAAATAAGAACTTTTACTTAAATTTGAAATTAAGAAATAAATACCAAGTTAAATGTACAAAAAAGGTTTTCGTAATATGTCAGTGTAAATTATAGAAAATGCGACAACACTCAGGGAAAACATTTAAATCTGAAATGCTAAAGGAGTGAAAGTGCAGATCCTTGAATCACAGCACTATAGGACACTGCCCTGGGGAACATCTAACCCCTAACTGCAAAGATTAGGACCCTGGGGCCCAGGGGATCCGAGACTCACTCATGGTTAAGCTATTATAGATGAAAACACAGTGGGCTGGGAATCAGAGGGACCAGGTTCTATCCCAGCAGTGCCACCTACTGGCTAAAACCTGGTGGTGATCCTAGACTTCCTTTCCCTCCCTCAGTAGTAACCAAGTATAAGAGATACTTGCTCAGGGTGGGCAGCCTCAGCCTCATTTCCAGCCTTTAGGACCTTCGCCTGGATGACCTGCATTAGTCTCCTCACAAGTCTCCTGTTTTCTAGTCTGACTCTGGTCCAATCCAGCCACAGTGTCCTTCCCAAATTGCAAATGGAGTCATGCTATTATATTTGGTGTCATTTGCTGCCTTTGGAGATGTTGAGATATCAAATCATCTAAGCCTAGTGCACAATACAGTGAGCCTTTCTCACACTGCTATGCTTTAGGGTATTTCCTTGTTTGCTCTCACAGTCTTTCTCCAGTCATTTTCATCTCTCTCTAGCGTAGGGAACTGTAATCCCTAGGATCCTGTGACAAATGGCTTCTGGCCAGGTTGGCCAGTTGGGAAGTATTGGTGGGAGATGCCAGGGTATTTCTCTCTGTGTGGGCTGCTGCAGAGGCCTTTCCAGCAGCTTCTGAGGCTCTTGTTTGGCTCCGGCTCCTGCGGGGCAGCTCCTCCTGCCAGGTGGCACAGTGTCCGGTGCAAGTAGCACAACCTCTTCCCTCTGTCCCTCCAGGCTGGGGGTGGTAGCATCTTCCTGCTACTGCTCATCTGAGTTCCTCACTGTCTTCTCTTTTGTTTCTTACTGTGTAAAAGTAAGATTAATTATCTTTGTTTGAAACACCTAGAGATCTTTCTCTTTTTCCTGATAAAGACATGCTCTGCCTAATTTTCATTAACTCACATCATCTTTGCCCTAGAGGAACTCTTGCCTTCCGATCCAATTCAGATGCCTCTCCTGTATGGGCTCACAGCACTTGGGCATGGTTATTTTTGCCCGTACCATGCTGCTCTATAATTCTAGTTTTTCTGTCTGCTTTCTCTACTACACTCTGAAAAGGTTGAAAAG